TAAGTAACGAATATGCTTCGGGGAAATGTATCGGAGTAAAAGTATACATTTTAATGAGGAAATGTAGTGGAGTAAAAGTGAAAGTTGGCAGAAATATAAAAACTCAAGTAAAGCACAGATACTCCCCAAAAAAAATACTTTTAAGTACTGTAACGAAATATTATTACTTACTTCGTTACATTACACCACTGCCAAGCAGTTGGCGGTAGCCACTGACTTCCATATTATTTTTTTCCATAGGCTACTATGGAAGTCAATGGCTACCGTCAACTGCTTACTGTTTGATTCTTCAAAATATCTTCTTTTCTGCTCAACAGAAAAAAAAAAAAACTTGGAATGACATAAGTGTGAATAAATTACAGATTTTTCATTTTTGTGTGAACTACCCCTTTAAGATTTATGTAATTTAAAGGGGTCATATCATGTTGTTAAAAAGAACATTATTTTGTGTATTTGGTGTAATGAAATGTGTTTATGCAGTTTAAGGTAAAAAAAACAGTATTTTCCACATACAGTACATTATTGTTTCTCCTCTATGCCCCGCCTTTCTGAAAGGCGTCGATTTTTACAAATTGGGGGTTCTCCAGGACCAGGATTGGGAACCACTGCCCTACACAAACAAATCATATTTGTTGTGCAAACATGTTTCTTACTTTTGTAATAATTTATGTCCAAGAGTTTTTTTATGTTGCATTTGTGTTTTTCATGTTTATAACATTATTTTAAAGTCATGCAAGATTTGAGAAAGTATAGATTTGTCATAAAGGTTCTTTTAATTATTTTAAGTACCTACATCTGTCAATGTCCCCCAGCTGTGATGAAAGCAAGGACAAGGCAGGGACGAAGTAAATTATGCTTCCCAATGGACGTCAATAATTCACATTCACAAAATCTTTCACATTATGGAAATAATCCTGACAGTTTCTCAATGCACGCAGCTTGACTTTCTGTTGACTCTCCATTTGATCTCAAATGCCAGTTTACTCTCTGCCCTTTTGTGCACAGAAGTTCCTCTGTGTGCCTTTCTCTTTCAAACCTCAATCTCAGTAACCTAATAAAGTCAAAACCCCATTAGGAGAACACACGACGCCATAGGCAGCGGATATAAGCTGCAGTCACCTGTCTGTGACACAGTTTTCCAGCTGAAACAGCATTAGAGAGGAAAATGTTATCCATCACGTCTGAATTAATGGAAAGAGTCTACTGAGAGAGCGAAGAAACCACTTAAAGTGAGAAATGTCATCGCTAATCTGTATTCTGACTCTGTTAGGGCTCCTAGTGGATATTAACACAAACTAAAGCGCATTGAATTTGAGATTAGAGTTCTGCATCAAGTTTTCATTCTGGGAGTCAAATCAGATGGAAATCCAGGTACAAGCGGTGACATGAAGGACAACAAACATAACAAACACAGAGAAGATGGCAAGAAAGGATGACATTAACAATGCAGCAGAAGACAGAGAACTTTGAAAAGGAGCTCAGCTTATTGAACTGATGTTTATCCTTTTGAATTTGTCTCATTGTGATTCCTGCCTGGTTCTGTCTGGTTTTGTCTGCCGCTCCCCTGTTATTTTATTGTTGTGTCATCATGCCGTCCTCAGTTCTAAGCTATTAAATGGCAACTTCATGGTGGATGGCAGGAGTTATGTGTGAACGGACACATGAAAACGGCCCTCGGGATAGTGAAAAGGACAAAAGAAACCTACTGACTCACAGATCAGAAATGTTAAATGGTGCTTGATCTGTGCATATTTCTCTCCTGATTCAGAAGAAATGACTTTTTCACTAGAGAAAGCAATATGGACAGAGGACTTGTATTTTAGTTGGAAGCGATGGTTTGACGTTAAAAACATCTTAATTATGGATTTGTTGAGTACAAGCAAGCAGTTTGTCGATTACTTCCATTACTTGTGGGTGTTGTTTTTATCAGCTGTTTGGACTGTCTTTCTGACGGCACCCATTCACTGCAAAAGATCCATTGGTGAGCAAGTGATGTAATGCCAAATTTCTCCAAATCTGTTCAGATGAAGAAACAAACTCATCTACATCTTGGACGGCCTGAGGTGCATTTTCAACAAATTTTCATTTTTGGGTGAACTATTCCTTTAAGAGCAAGATAACACAACTGAAAGAAAAAATATGTGCGATTCAAAGATACTTACTTGACACAAACCGTCTCAATGCCAGAAAAAGAGCGACAGGCTTCTGGCAATTCAGAAAATAATTAGTGTTTTGTTGTTCGCTGCCCACATTTTCTCCTGGATATGTTTTAAGCGTGCATGTGTGTGTGTGTGTATTACTCAGCATGCGTGGGCATCCGTCCTTCAGTGTTATACATGAGCAGCCCATGTGTTGGAAGTCCTCTCAGCA